GGGCCGCTGTGGGGCCCCAGAGCTCAGCCCAGTGCAGTGACAGGGCGTGCGGGCCCGGGTCCCCGTCCTTGTGCTTCCCATCGCTGTTAAAAATCAACTTTCAGCTTTGCACACGCGTGTGGTTTGGGAACACGACTTCCCTGCAGGTAACAGAGCGAACAGTTGTCGCTGACTTGTGACTATTATTTCTCATCCGTCGGCAGAAAGAGCAGTTCTACTCCGAGCAACACTCGTCCTTGATTAACAAGGCCTATGAAACCCTCCTGAACCCTCTGAGCCGTGGCCTCTATCTAGTAAGGTGTTCATTACGTATTTTATCAATATTCCTGTAATTAATCAGAGGTGGCTGGCAGTAACGTAATGAATCTGACCTTCAGCTCCATTGCTAAGGTCCTGATTTGAGTTCCTCTGAAGAAGAGGATTACCAGGGTTTGAAGGGAGACGGGAAACAAGCTTGTCTGAAAATTTGTCAGCTTTTCCACTGTTTTATTTAACGTTTTACTGGTTGTTACTGTATAATTTGCTGCTCATGCTACACTAGCTTGTTTCCTGCATGTCAGATTGTGTTTGGCCATGGCTGTGCCTTTGAAATGTCAGTCTGGCCCTTGGCAGCCTTTGTTAGGTTTTTTAACTGCTGATTTTATGGTCTACCTATGGAGTTAATGTTAAGACTGACCCTGTTTGCACATGGAATAAACCAGAGGTTTATCAGATACAAATCTGACTGAGACTTTCTAAAAGACTTAATATCCCAGACAGTAATTCACACTGAAATAGATGTAAAAATGTGTATTTCCAAACTCCCATTTTCTTCACCAGCTGGAGCTGAATGGAGTAGAGACGGCACAAGAGACAGACAGTGATGCAGACTCCGCGTTTCTCATGGAAATAATGGAAATCAATGAGAAAATAGCAGAGTCGAGAAATGAGGGTATCCTTGAAGAAACAGAGAATTTAATTAAAGGTGGGTTATGATTTGAGGGCTTTGTACAGAACTGTCTTGCCGTATCTCGTGTAACGTGAGAGCCTTTCTGAAGACTCTTAACTTTTTCGCTGTATTTCTTTCAGTCTCTCTAACTTCATCAGACTTGAATTGAGTCGCTACAAGAGCTTCTCCCCACAAAAAAAATGTTGTCTGTGCCAGTTTATGCCACATAAGCATCAATCTGACTTGAGAAAACCTAGGACAGTACCTGTTCTGATGGCAGAGTAGGTCCATTCTGACTACAAATAGGTCCTTTGACTATAAAAGGAAGTTATATATAAATACTCAACCTTCCGCAGATCAGGACAAGTAGATTGTTGTAAAGGAAAGAACCACTCCAAATGAAGTTTGATAAAGTGCTTGGCTGATCACATGAAATCATTTCATTTATACAGACATTGTTTCTTTCCACTTCAATGATTCTTATCCTTAGATGAGAGGCTTTCATGTTTATACTGTTGCTGATACCTAAAACTGAGTTTATTGGTATATTTAATTCTGTGCAATAACAGTAGTGTGTCAAAAGCAATTGGAACAGCTAGAATAAAAACTTAAGTAGAACAGAAGAAAATTAACTGTAGCAGGGTAAACTCGTACCCCAAAAGTATGTTTAGATTTCTGGGAATTCACTGACCATTGACTGGCATTAGAATGGCTGTACGTAAACATGGTGAAACAAAGAAATACAGCAGAATCACAGAATCCCAGACCGTCAGGGATTGGAAGGGACCTCCAAAGCTCATCCAGTCCAATCCCCCTGCCAGAGCAGGAACACCCAGATGAGGTTACACAGGAAGGCGTCCAGGCGGGTTTTGAATGTCTGCAGAGAAGGAGACTCCACAACCTCTCTGGGCAGCCTGGGCCAGGGCTCTGTCACCCTCACTGAGAAGAAGTTTCTTCTCCAATTGAAGTGGAACCTCCTGTGTTCCAGTTTGTGTCCGTTACCCCTTGTCCTATCATTGTTTGTCACTGAGAAGAGCCTGGCTCCATCCTCATGACACTCACCCTTTAAATATTTCTAAACATGAATGAGGTCTCCCCTCAGTCTCCTCTTCTGCAAACTGAAGAGCCCCAGCTCCCTCAGCCGCTCCTCAGAAGGGAGATGCTCCACTCCCTCCATCATCTTTGTAGCCCTACGCTGGACTCTCTCCAGCAGTTCCTGTCCTTCTTGAACTGAGGGCCCAGAACTGGACACAATATTCCAGATGCGGTCTCACCAGGGCAGAGCAGAGGGGAGGAGAACCTCTCTGCCCTACAACCACCCCCCTCCTGATACACCCCAGCAGTTTGAAATGGTAATTTAAAGTTTGTCAGCAATATTATGAAAAGCTCTCTTAGCTCCCAGAAGACCATGAGACTGGAGATGAAGGTTCCCACCGCAGACAATCAGACTGCAGTGGTATTAAATATACAATGCAGATAAGAAAGAGTAAATTAAATCATTTGTTTTACAGCTAAACAAGAAGAACTGACCAAAGAGGTGACTGCAGCCTTTGAAAGAGGTAGCTGTTTCTAATAAGTATTTAGTGCTGTACGCGTCAGTTAAAAGTGCTTAAAAGAAAAAAAGCCACATTCTCTTATTGGCAACTATTTCCTGAACTACAGAACAGAAATACTGCATAAACAAGTGTTCTTTGTTTGGTGTTTAGGGTAAATACTTCTAAGCTGACCTTTCTGCTGATGCAGGAAATTCAGGAGTTTGTATTAGATTAAAAAAAAAATAATAAAATGCATATTTTACATTTTTCAGTGTTTAAATACACTTTAAGAAAATAGTTTTTCTCGTCTGTATACTTACATTTCCCCAATGGCTACATCAACGCTACAGCCACTTTACTGTAAAGTCATTAAAGAGTATTCATGTTGTATTTCTACATTGCACATCTTAATTTGTTTTGTAAAAATACCTGAGATGAAAATAATAGGCAGGGTGGTTTTAATAGCATAGGGGTCCGTACAGCTCTTACTACTGAAACAGGGGCTGCCATTGAAATCTTGAAATCAACTTTATAAACTAGCAATGTTCTGTTTCATTTCAGATGATCTCCAAGAAGCTAAGAAGCTACTAGCCAAAATGAAATACTTTGCAAATGTATTAGATAAACTAAAGAACAAGAAGATTCCTTCCTGATACGGCTTCCTTTACCATCAAGAGCTACTGTGATTTTCAATTAAACAGCTGATTTAGTTACCAAAAAGCAGAAGAATGGTGTTTGCTTCCTACGGTGTCATTAAAAGCTTTAATTCTGAGAGGAGGAAGATAAATGTCAAAGAAATCCAGTGCTTATTGGAGCACTTCTTAAGTAACAGATGGCATCAGGAAATGCTTTCAACCAGGAGAAGATGTCCTAGGTGGGGCAGGGCTGCTGTCCTGGCAGGTACGGTACAGGAGGGAGTACCAGAGAGGCACACAAACACTGTATGTAATCGACATTTCTTTGTTTTACTACCTGTTGCACAGTTTAAAATGTTAAGATGTTAGGTTAAGGGAAAAAAAACACAACAAAACCCAAACTCAAACTCCAGAAACTGTTTTATTAGTACCCTTTTAGGAAACAAGTCTTTATAATGTACGTTACTACAAATAACAGTAGTTCAGATAGGTGCTGCACTGGCTTTGTAGAGTTACAGCAATAGGACTGGGTGAGGAGCGTCCTTAAATCTTTCAAAGAAGGTACTTAAGTGAAAAACAGCAACAAACACCCCACTTTATACATAAACTAGAATATTTAAAACATCGGTTTCTTGGTCCTTGTTTGGGCTTTAACACCTCAATATTTTATTCAGTAAAGCGTTAACATAGGTTTGATTACCCAAGTGTGAAGAAGGGGCTCAGAAATGCATGAGCACCCACTGAAATCTGGCAGGGGGAGGAATTCACCCTTCCCGGCATTTCTGCATCCCCACAACGTCAGGGTGTAGCTAAACATCAAGTCTTGTACGCATAATGTGTGGTGTTAGTAGCATCCCAGCAATATATGTTTTAACAACATTGCAGAAAGATTAACTTGCCTTTAATTGATCTTCCTCTAAATATACAGGAGGATTTAATAACATACTTGTTCACAGTGTTACAGGGCTAATGTAGAAGACACTGTTTGTAATCCTCATTAAAATTCTGTTACAGCTACGAAATTACAGAGAATTTTTTTTAAATTCATCATGGAGTTGTCTTCTTTCACAAAGCTCCGTTTCCTTTTTTTTGCTATTTCTTCCAAAATTAAGCTTGTGAAATTCCTTTTTGATTTCCAGAAAAGATTTGTTTTTTGTCTCAGGAATGACGAGGAAGATGAAAGCGGCGACTAAGGAGCACTCCAGTAAGAACACCAGAAAACAATACTGCTTCAGTCCATTCTGAAAGTGAAATTTATTTTCTTGTAACGTATTTCAAGTATAACAATGGTTTTGGAAACTAAAAAGGGGTTTTTTCCCCCATTCACACCTAACATTGCTGCTCAGATGCTTTTTATTGGAAGACCTTTAACCTATCCTTACTTTACACATAAATGTTAATTTTTATTTCTTCAGATAAGACTGCTAAGTGCTACACAAGACTCTTGGTAGTCCTTTATTTGAAAAGAAAATTAAACACACTAAACAATTCAGAATATAATGCCAAGTCAGTATTTGCTGTTCAGCTGTCTCATATTTTAAGATCGTGTGGTTTATCTTTTTCTGAATGTCTGTTGATATTTTTCAATGCTATACATCAAATCCAACTATCTCACTGAGAAGCAGAGTTCAGCCAAGGAGAAAGGAATGTCAGATCAAGATACCCTGCTCCGTGCTGTTCCTGCATGGTTTGTTCTCAAGAGTAAGTGCTAAAACTGAAAATAAAAAGGTAGAACTGAAGGCCTGCGTTGTTTTCCTCAATCACCTTCCTGCTCACAGAACCCTCTGGATGAGGTTTAGTGAGCTCAGAGGTGTGAGCTGCTGGCCCCAGGTATGGCTTCTACTCCAGTTTGACATAAAAGCACTATTAAGAAATGTGTTATTTGAAACTCAGTATCTGATTACGTTAAATTAAAATTGTCCTCATGCATTCCGTTCAATTTTCATTCGTCGTGTTTTATTATTTTCTGTTGATATCTAAAAATTACTTTCAGAGGGACTGAACCTCGTTATGCTGAGGGGTCATGTGCATCCTGTGTTTAGGTGTTGCTAGACAGGAACAAGCAATTTGATGGAACCCGAGCAGAGATGAAATGGGAGGAGAGGCAATGAGGAAGATGGGTTCTGGGTACTTACCACGATGAATGGAAAGAGCATTCCCACTGTGAAGAAACTGATCCAACTAATCGTCCCTCCTATCGTGTAAGCAGCAGGACGTGAAGACTGTATAAATATTTCGGCTGTCAGGGTGTTTGTTATGCCACCTGGGGAGATCACATTCAGAAACAGAACAGGTTATTCTGCACAGTGTCTCTTTGTGGTATTTCCAAGGCCAGAAAAATCGAGTTGCTTTTGAATAATGCCATTAACTGATCCAATTCTATTAATATATGGATATTAACATCACATTTTTGGATCATTCCTGAGCCTCAGTAAACTCTGCCCGGCTTAGCAGAGCTGCTGCCATCCCCCCTTCCCCAAGCACACGTTTCACTGCCTTGAAACAGTCGTTGCTGTCTCATACCTGGTCCCAAGCCAAAGCTCAAGATGAAGGCAAAGATGGATGCCATGCTCACGTAAGGCACCCATGAGTACAGGTCCTGGAACAGAAGAGAATGAGAAGGTTTAGTTCAGATTTTGATAATGCAGTTTTAAAGTTTGGTTTAACAGTTACGTTCCCTTTTGCTGTGTTATTGCAACGAAGGCTAACAGTCATTGACAGCTGTTTCCAATAGTTTCTGTGAATTTACACTTGGTGTGTAAGTGTCTCTTGAATTTCAGCATCTTTACAATATTTTTGTTTGATTGCTTTTCAATTAAGTGACCAAAGTGGACTCTGATGCTTAATAACATCACTATGTAGTATTTAATCCTACAATGACTTCAAAAGCTAGGATTGACACTACTTTGCCATCAGTTTTGTCAGTATTAAATGCAGCTGCAGCTTTAAGACAAATACACAACCAAATCTTAGCCGAGAGCATTCTCTTATTTTGGGGAAATATGGCTGCAGAAATCGCTGTCATTTTTTATGCTGCTGTTTAAAACTGTTAGGTGTTAAAACTGGCTCTTATCTTCCAGACTTTCACTCACTCATGGTATCATGTAATGTTATAAACAAGTCCTTCACACCTGGTAAGTCAGAGAGAACGTTAAAACGATGCACCAAAGGCTCATGAGGACGTAACCCCCAATGACGAGGCATCTTCTTCCCACGTAGTCTATCAGTAAACCCTGTGGGCAAGACATAATTTTCTGTTACTATATTTACCAATGCTCTTCTTCAAGAAGAATCGTGACTCTTTATGCTAGAAGAGAAAATAAATTATTACTTACACAGGTGAGGGCTGTGAGGCATTCACAGGCTCCAGTGCCAAGCGTCACATATGGGATTTTTTCTGCTGCGATCCCAGCTTGCTCAAAAATGTAAGTTGCATAGAAATAAATCTACAACAGGAAAAAATAGAATGGGTCAATCCTGGTAGTTAAATTGTTGGCTGGAAATAAAATCATACTGAACATGTTTATTTTATATTGTGAATTATTAATTTGACATGAACAGCAAGAAGAATCTGTTACATTAATGTCTAGCTGAATACATTGCTATCGTAAAAGCAAATTAATTATTCAACTTACTGAATGTATTACTTCATATTCTTAAACCAAACACAATGGGATAAGCTGATCCACCTGCATTTACTTTTTCAGAAGAATGTAAATACGAGTATTAGGTCATTCTTTATAAAAATCTACGTACCAGAAACGTAGAAATGAAAAAACAGTGAAAAGAGATATAATACAAAGCTATCCTTTCCCACTTACCCCATTTCTCTGAGCTTCTGTATGTGGATCCTTTGTGTTAGACAGACAGAAATGAAGTAATTACTTAAGCTGTGTGTAGGTGTGAGACCTTACCGCGTTTATCCCACTGAGCTGCTGGCCCATGGTCATCACAATCACCGTAATGAGCTGCCACCTCACCCCGCGGTCGCTGAACAACTGCCAGGGCTTCTTGGGCTTCTCCCCATCCAAGGCGAAACATTCCCGCTGGATGTCTTCCATCTCCCTTCTGTACTCCGAAGAGCCATGAAATCGCTTCAAAGCTAAAAAAAAGAAGAAAGTTAATTCTCTTATGTTTACCTATTGACCACAGCTTCTGGAAAATCATCTCTTTCCATAATGACCTGGCTTTTGCTAGGATATGAAAACTTTCTGCTTTAGGAAGCTGGGAAAACGTCCTTTGCTGTGAGACTTGGGTTTTGCTTGCTGGTTTTCCAATCTTTTTCTTGCTGTGGTGGATTTGGAGATTTCAGTGGCATTACTTTGCTTTTTCAAGAGGAATATCTGACTTTGAAATACTCGCCAAACAAAATATTTTGAAGTTGTTTATATCTGAACCACAGACCTCCAAAGAGTATTTTCATTAAAGGACACTGACAAGTTTGAAGTCTTTTGCTTAAATTCTAGGCAGATATTATGAGAAAAATTATGAAACCTTTCGAGATTTCATCAGAGAGTAACAAAAGATGAACATGTATTTCAAAAGAGATAAAAAAGTTGTGTTCACAATCCATTACAGACTCCCAAGTTCCACATTTCCTCTTTCCATATACGCTCACTGGAGGAAAACCATGGGCCATAAAGTATTGGGTGACAGAACTGTGCTGTGCTGATAAAGACAAAAGGAGAATCTGGAACCCAAGATACTCACTGCACCCTTCTGAAGACACAAAGTATAAGCGCTGTACATTACCTTTGGCACAGCCCAGTTCATCACCTCTGTCAATGAGAAGGTATCTGGGACTTTCAGGAAACCACGGCAGGAATAAAAGCTGGGCAAATGCTGGGAAACAGCTGCTGGAGAGCAATAGAGGCCAATGCTTTTCTCCACCTAATAATTCCCTGGGAGAGATGTGAAAAAAGGAGGGGAAAAAAAGAAAAACAACCAAGTAAGTAGCTATTGGTGACTGTTCAGAAGACTTCTGGGAGCAAGATGTTGTCCATCAAGAGAAGTTCCCT